CTTTTAATTGCAAATCATCCACCTGAGCTACAAATCTTCTCTAATAGCCGAAGATATGTTGATAAAATTCAAGTCATGCCATCCAAATCTCAATTTTACAGTAGGACACAAAGAAAACGATACTATTAAATTCGTAGAAGTTTTTCTGACGAAAATGAATGACGGCACAATCGAAAGATCTAGATTTACAAGGTCTTCATGGACAGGACAGTACATGCATTTCAAGAGTTTTGTTCCAATCCAGTATAAAACGAACTTAGTCAGAACACTGTTCAATAGAGCACGAAAAATCTGTTCTGACAGTACTGTTGAGCATGAAATGAAATCTCTGAAGGATATCTTATCTAAGAAGTGATATCCTGAGAAGTTCACTAATAAATGCTCTAAAGAAAATAGCCCCTGCAAAACAATCCAAACAGTTCCGAAGAAACCTGTCTACATCAACTTGCCGTTCAAAGGAGATGATGTACAGGAAGTAGTCAAACGAAGACTCGACAAAGCCATCAAGAGAACTAATTATGCCACAAAAGTTGTTTTCCTTAACATCACGAAACGAGTGCTTCAACAATCTGGGAAAGACCAGTTGACCATCCTCGACAATTCAAAATGCGTTTATCAATTTGAGTGTGTTTGTGGAAACAAATACATAGGTCGTACGGAAAGGAGATTGTCTACTCGCATGATGGAGCATTTGGCAAAATGGTTGAAACAGCTGAGTGCAACGTGCCAAAATCCTCAATAACAAAGCATGTTGTGGATTACGGACATGATATCGATGTGGTCAAGTCATTCACTATTGTCAGCAGACAAAGAAACAAGAAGATGCTTGCAATTGCAGAGGCTTGTGCAATTCGAGTTTACAAACCAGGTCTCTGTGTACAAAAGGAGATGGTCGTGACTCTGAATCTACCATGGTAATACGTTTTACTTATAATTATACCCCTTATTATTTTTATTCTCATTATTTAATATTCTTGATTCATTTAAAACTATCTTTATCAGTAGGATTATCTTGATTCACTTCAACACTGTTATTATTATTATTAATAATTTTATTATAACTACTACTATTGACATCACTCTGTTTGCAATTCTTGTTATATTCTCTAATGTCTAATTGTTTATCTAAGTGATGTGATTGAAGCGTAATGCAATTTATCTTAATTTTGATCTCTCACACTCTCCCCTTGCCTATTTGAACATGACCTGGAAAAACATTCGCACCTGTCTTTCTGCATGACTAATTCAATGTAGTTTGTTTACTTATCAGTCCTATATCTCCCAATGTAATTTCAAAAGTATATATGTCCGTGTATGTAGAGTATTCAGCTGACGGGTCCTACCGAAATTCGATGAATTCATTAGATCCTGCTTTATTAACCTTTATTGCTTGTTTTAAACTATGCAGTCATTCACACGTTGAACCAACGAGGACAGGCATGACTTGCATTTGTTGGCGTTTCATGTGAAGGGAGTTTTGGTGCCACCTCATAATGAATATGTAAAAGAATATGTAAAAGAAGTCACAGAGAAACAATGTGACAACATTAAATCTGACCTTCTTAAGAGCCTAAAGCCTTCAGTTAACACCGAACGTCCGTTCCCAAGCAATCCAGAAAAGTATGTATTCAACCTCTCAAACATCACACTATCCACAGCTCAACTAGAGGTGTTACCTCTTGGTCCGAAGTTCTGCGTAAAACCACGAAGTATTCACAAGCTTCAATGCCTGGTTCAATTTGAAAACCTGATAAACCAAACCTATAACTTGATACCAACGTCCGATGAGAACCTACAACAATTCAAATCAACTGTCCTCGACTGTTGCCACAAATTTATAAATGGCAATACAAACGGAAGATCCGTACTAACGAAGAAACACTACAAAGAGCTGAAAGAATTGATGAACAATGAAGAGATTATGCTGATACGTCCTGATAAAGGTGGAGGAATCGTAATCATGAACCGTAAGGATTATATCAGTAAAATGTTGAGCATTCTATCTGATGAATCTAAATTCACTAAACCGGCCAACGAGAAAAACATGACGGAGCAGAGTGAACAAAAACTAACAGACATCCTCCGTAAACTGAAGAACGAATCCTTCATTACCAACGAAACGTTTGAATCCCTGAAACCATCTGGTTCAAATATACCAAGACTCTACGGACTTCCTAAAGTACACAAGATGGGCACTCCACTTCGACCGATCCTCGACATGACTAATTCACCTTACCACTGCACTGCCCAATGGCTAGCAGACCTACTTGAGCCAATCAGAAAACAGGTCTCCCGTCACTCAGTGCGAGATTCATTTGAATTCGCCAACTGCGTCGAAAACGTCAATGTTTCTAATCAAACGATGATCTCACTAGATGCTGTTTCATTGTTTACAAATGTTCCACTAACTGAAACAATCTGTCACATATGCGAGCTCATCCACTCAGAAGGAGTAAACATCGGCATACCCACCGACTATCTAAAAGAACTTCTGCTGAGATGCACCCTAAACGTCCAGTTCTCCTTTAACAATGAAATATATCGCCAAAAGGATGGTATAGCTATGGGCTCACCACTAGGCCCTCTGCTTGCGGATTTCTTTATGTCAAAACTCGAAAACACTTGTTTAAAGAATATGATTGACAACTTTGAACTCTACAAGAGATACGTCGACGACACCTTCATCATCTGCAACAACGAAGAGAATTTAGAAGATATTCTGAAGTTCTTCAACAACTGCCACCCTGCGATTCAGTTCACGCTAGAGAAAGAGTCTAACTCAAAGATATCTTTTCTTGACTTTCAACTGACGAGACGCCAACAAGACGGGACATTAAAAAGATCCATCTACAGAAAGCCAACGTGGAACGGACAGCTCACTAACTTCCACAGTTGGGTACCTCTATATACTAAACGAAACTTAATCCGTTCACTAAGCCACAGAATACGTAGAATTTGCAGCGTGGACGCCATAGAAGATGAATTGAACACTCTTAAGAAAATCCTCCTTGAAAATGGCTATCCAGAAAGATTTATCACAAAATCAATGAAACCCAGACCAGAGAAGCCGTCCACACCCAGTGCTCCAAAAAGAATTCTCTATATGAACCTACAGTTCAATGGAGACCAATCTACAGAAATACTGAGAAATCGGCTCTCCCGCTCATTGAAGAAAACCTTCGTTGCAGCTGAATTACGACTGAGGTTCTCCGCGAGACCAATGATTCGTATGTCCGTGAAGGATAAGCTACCGCTGTTGGCCTCATCTATGTGCATCTACCAATTCACCTGCTCGTGTGGAGCCAGGTATATCAGCCGTACTCAGCGTTCGCTATCCAAACGCGTCAACGAACATTTACCTTCATGGTTTTATAAAGGAGAAAACCGATGCCCCCGCAGCTCGATCCTTGAACATTTGATCGACTCTGGACACCAAGTCAAACCAGAAATAAACTTCAAAGTTATCTACAGAATACAAGGCAATCTTGCTAAAAGTGTGCGGATCAAACTTCTCCACATCGCAGAAGCAATGGCAATTCATTTGCTAAATCCTGAACTCTGCATACAAAAGAAATTCGTTCATTCATTAAATCTACAATGGACGTAATCTTTCTTAATTTTAGTCTTACTAATTGTATTATTTTGTCTCTTGCATTTTATTATTTCACATCTTCACTTATATTATTCTCTATCCCACCCTTTTGTAATCTCTACCCTCATTAACAATGTTACTTACTTGACCCACTTCCAATTTCTAGTCAACTGAGTTACGTCATCCGATTAACTTACTTATTTTCAACTGTATTATTCTCTAACCCCACCCTTACTTGATTTTAAACACCACTCATTAACACTGTTTCCAACCTGACCTCATCTGAATTCTACTCACTTAATCAATTCTATTTTATTTTCCATCTTAACGTTTGTTTCCAAGCAAAAATTACTTATATTACATAATTATCTAAACTTTATAAATCTAATGTACACACACACAAACAAAATTGTATAAATATGCGATTGTACAGCTAAGTGAATGAATTCGCCGAAAAGAGTCTCTTCGCTGAACGCCTTCTTTTCTTTTATATGACTGAATGGGGATTTTCAAGTTACATAATGAATATTTCACTAGATTGTCGTGTAACGTCTACGGTCAAATTTCAGTTGTTTAATTCTGCCCTAGACTATTTGTTTTGTGCTGGAAATTTCCTTTGCCTATATAGCTGCATTCGGCACTGACGTGGTAATTTTGAGGTTTCCATGTTATTATCGTGGATGTTCAATACACCTTCACATATTTTACGACTAATAGTAAACTTCCAGCTGCCTGTGTAGAACTTTGTGACTGTGAGTCTCTCGAGGAGGTTTTGAATAGACAGGCAGGAGGATGCAATAAACGGTTTCTTCTGTTTCAAGCCAATTTATGGTTGTTCATTCTACAGACATTTCAGCATATTTAGATATCATCCGGCGTGTCTTCATTCAGATGTACTTATTTGATATCAGTGGTGAGGAGCATTACTGTTTTAACTATGTTAGATACTGGAATTAATGACCAACATGTGTCGCGCCAAATATTTCGATTGCAAATCGTGTAGGAACTTGTTTTACGTGCTCTTGGTCCATTTGGTCCGTGTTATCAGTGATTAATCACTCGAAAGACATTGACACAATCGTATTTCCATTGAGGTCGGTTACGCATATACGTGTGACGCACACTCTACTGAAGAGACTCAGTCCCCTAACAGCCACCGTACGACCAGTCTCACATTAACACGTTCCCGACGACGACAGCCAACCACAAAGTCTTCAACCGCGAATTCGCATTGAACCACATCCGATCACCACCGGCAGTTCAATAAAAGTTTCAATTCATGAAGAAATCGCGGTATAGCAGATAATTGATTTATTTAATTTACTTATTTGAAAATGAAATATTTACGAAAGCTTCTACAATCTACATGTATTCAGTAGTACTTTGATATTCACCCTGGTTCTCCTTTTCATTTTTCTGTATGAGAATAAAATCAGTTAGCAATATTATTGGATGAAATATTACTGGTGAAATAGTCAAGAAAATCATATACTGGAGAGGAGGATGATTGTTGGTGAACTGTGTGCTTATTTACACAATCCGAGTATTCGGGATATTTTCAGTGAGTGATAATTTCAATGAGTTGCTACTTTTCAATGATTCACTATGCGTCGTGTGGATTTCAATGGCTGGCTTGCATTTCCTCAGTGACGCGTATGAAATGTGCATGTGTATTCCAATACATTCATGATACCGTTTATTTACAACTGTCTAGATACTATGCATTGGACGATATCCGCACGGTAACTTACAACGCCACTGATGATGCTTTCATCACACAGTTAAACAGGCGTATTCGAGATCGTAATTCGAAACACACACTCATTGACCTATATTTGTGCTGTATGGTGGGAGAATAGTCGATGGTGAAAAATATTATCTAGCTGTTGTAGTGAATATCCGAATCCCGTGTTGTGCTTCGCCGACTCATCATCCCCCATCCAGACTGTCTCCCATTTCGTGTCTTGGAGATTCAAACGTGCACTCCATTAACAGACCTTATCCTCGCATGTCGATTTCGTATGTTTGAGAATGGAAGTTGATGCAAATTATATCTCACCTGTCAACGTCTTCAACAGGGTTGTGTTAAGATTCTTGTAAACTAGAAATGATAGAAGACATCGAGAAATATTTGAATTGACCAGTGGAAGGGATTGTTGTTGTCTATCAATGAGTTCGTAAGATAACTAATATTAGATAGACTCTGACTATTCATTTTACAGAGAAAATGAACTCACAAATTTCAACGCTTAACCAGGAGTTGTGGTAGAATACTCCTTCGATTTGAGCTTTCAGTTCCTGCAGATCTGAAATAATTCATGAAGAATGTATCTTCCTGAGTGGACTTCTCAGAATCAAATTATGAGATTGGAAAACAAAATTACGTGACATGAAAACAATCTATTTCATGCACAGATTCAAGCAATTGACAACTTCACGAATTCATCCACTTGCATGATGTTAACTTTGCACCATGTTCAAACTGCAGTCATCATGTCACTATGTCAGTAGTCATTCAGTTTCACGTTCACTAGATTGTCTTTCAGTGTGTGTTTCTACTCATATTCACACCATCTGAACAATTTCATTTGTAGACGACCGACCACATCCTAGACCACCACTGAAGTTGTTCATATACCTCCATACATTAGTTTTCGACTTTTGGAGAATCCTCATCAAAGACTGTCCTGCAATACGAGGTTGATGTTCATGAATTCAAAACATGATGAAGGTATTGTGATATGTGAAGGTATACCCTCATCGTGGGTATACACGAAAATGTTATTCATTTCATTGTGAATGTAAAAAAGGAAAAAACGAATACCTTCTTGATTCACCGAACCTAGATTTGCGCGACATTTGTCCACATGGAACGCCTCCACTTTTTCTAGTTGTGGGTGTGTAAGGGAAGAAAAGCAGTGTCATTATGTGGAGACTGGAATTTCGAAAATCGTCACTCCATACAGTCAAAATAAATCGAGCCGGTTAGCGTATTAAAATGCTACTCACCATTATATGCTGAGGATTGTTGTCGGCAACAAGTTATCATATCACCAAGTGTTCCATCGTCAACTGTAAATAAATCAGTCTCAAATGAATCAATTCATTCCTATTGTTATCAATATCATACATATACACATTGATGCAGTTTGAATACAAACACAATCACAATTGAGGCGAATAAAATTTGTTTACTTCTTGGTAGATTGTCAACGAATATCCGAAATGAGAAATACAACAGTCAAACATCTATTGTCAATCACTTCCTCATGTTAATCGGTGAATGAGGAGGTTCTTCACATTTATTTGACGTTAGCAAATAAAGTGCATCATTGAAATAACGATAGTTGAGGTGTTAACGCGTGAATATAAGCCAGGTGAAGAATGTTGAACAGAATATTGACGAGAAATAAGTATGATTGCAGATAAGTATAGAAATGACTCAAAATATCTAGCTTACTTTTGCCGAGATCCTCTGCGATATCTAGGAAAGATAGAAAGACGTTGACATATTTAGCGGCTCTTATCATTTGTAAGTTAACAACGCCGGAGCCGAAAAGACGTATATTATTCAAATGACCGGTGAGAAGACATATCACCAATAGAGAGTATATCAAGAAAGTGACTTCTCACTTATCAAATAGAAGCACAGTGAGTAGTGAATAAATTTCGCGAATAAAATTATTTCAGAAAAGAAAAGAATTTCTTAGAACGCACATTTAAGTGTGGATATTCCCCACCTGTATTTGTATGCAGTTTCCAGGCAGTCTGTATCTAAAAAAGGAGGTCCATCATTTCAATAGATACGGTTTGCTTACAATTTCCTAATTTTCCTCGTAAGCTTGCATTTTGACTGAGAATCTTTTCTAGGAATACAGAAAAGCGAAAGCGTTGAAAGTTAACAACTTGTGGTGACGTGTATTTTATTTATGTCACTAAATGCTACATACTAGATGACATGATTGATATCATCATTAGTAATAATTTCGAAAACATTATTTGAAGCATATTTTCGTCAGAGCGAAAATATTATCAACAATCAGGCTTTATGTTATATATACCTTCAATAATTTGCACTCTCTTTTCAGCAGCTTCGACCTCCGCAATCGCTTCGGGTAGTTTTTCTGTGGGGAGAGGAGAATATTTTGAATGAATCATTATATGTGATGTAAGATAACTGATAACAAATGGATAATACACATTGTAAATAGTTTCATTGAAGACGACTGAAGGAATTTCAGGTGAGTCAGCCATTCTCCACACTGTCTTCAATGATATTATATCAATTTTCGAGTCGTCAATTAAGATCATGACTAAATCGATCATTGTGAGACTTTCGTTATTCTCAAACAATTGCCATGAATAATTGTCAAGTAGATTGTTAACCTCGAATAATATGCACGTAATACATTCTTACGTTCAGTTTTTGCTATCCTCTTTTTAATTTCAGCTGCCTTCATCGATTCACCTGGAAATGAAATGAGGGAGTGAAAACAACAGTTATTATACAGAGAAGCAGTTTCAGAACACTGAAGATAGTCAGAACAATTTCTCCACTTGAATTGTATCAAACTCCTTTGGAGGGCTTTATGTATGCCATTGCAGTGCATAAACACATCACCTCAAAATGTGTATTCGGACAATCTTTGGAAATTTTAGCTGAAACACTATCAGAACGAGAGAGCATGTCACTGTACAATTGTTAATATACAAAGTCTTTTAGTTAGGATTAAGAGGAGAGATGCCTCCACGAGTACTATTACGCTTCCGGTCACCATCTATCAAGCAAGATGAAATTGAGATGAATTCATATGCAAAAGTGACCATTCTGAAGAAAAAACTCAACCAGAGAGAACGAACTGTGAGAGTGAGTAGCGAAACATTCAACAGTACTAGTGAATAAGGCAAATATTTCGTAAGGATTGAGCCACAAATATACCACCTTTCGAGAAAATGCTCACCTGAAATCATGGCTGCGAATGCCAACAGAGTGACGAAAGCCACGTGGCTGTATGCGAAGTGGACCATATTCTTATGATAACTGACTTTCCGTTCCCGTATTTATACCACAGAAAGCAGTCACAATTATTGTTGTAATCTGATGATTGGTTGATTACAGTAATCACGATTTCATCGGTCATTTGTGGAAGACTGTGAGTGTTGTGATTGGTGAGTGAAACAACACCTCATGATGTCACGCCACTGACATCATATATCGAGGAATCTGAGAGGTACAATGAAATCTGCCAGTCTGCAGTAACACTTTGCCACTTGAACATAATTTGAAAATATTATTTCATTGCAGTACTACACAAAATGTCATCAGTTTTTTCTTTCGACCCAATCATTCCATAACTTCGTGCATTCAATTTGGCAGTTTCCTCTGTTTTAGAAAAGAAAGCGAAGTCTTCAAGCACACAATATTTGATTCACATTTCTTCGTCTCAGTCTGACTCTGCGGTATATGAATTGAGTTGTTTTCAACAAAAGAGATTATATGGACGCTGCAATATTCCGTGAAGATGCAGTTGTGTCGTAGAATGTTTTCGATGTACTTGAGTTGTCTATGCTGCATGGATTACTTGTCAATCCTTCACTGACTTACTAGGCTACATTTTCAGTGCACAGGTTAATTTGAAAAAGTGAGCTTTGACATTTGTTGTGATAATATTTGAAATGCGTTTTGATTTTTTGAGAAGTATCTATTTGATTCAGTGTATGTGAGCACAATGTGTTCTCCCTGCATTAGCCAAACGCAGATGTACAGTAAGATAATAATATATAATAATTATTTATTTTATTCCAAAAGCAGTACTGATAAAACAGAATGGAATTTTCAGTATTTGTGACAATAGTGCATCTGATTTAATCAAAATATAAATGAAATTAAAAATTAAAATAAAATTAATCAGAGGAAGTTGTCCACATTTACGACATAATTATTAGATATAATAGTAACAATAACAATAACATTGAGTTTGAATCAAACGGTATTGTCGATACAGTTTTGGGAACTTTAGCATGTTATAAATTATTGGGTCTAATGTTCTGTTGATATAGTATAGTGAGGGGAAATGCAAAATCAGCAGTTATAATACAGCTTAAAATTAAATCCACACTTATGAAAAATAAAATAAAGAAAACGAAAAAATGCAGAGGATTATAAATATAAAAAAATACAATAACAATAAAGAGTGATGCTTTAAGGTTGAAGGAAATGGTCTATTTAGTGGTGCTAAGAAGGTTAGTTAGTTCATGTTTGACACTATTTTCATCACGTGAAGTAGGTGCTTAATATGGTATAGTGGAATTTTTATAATCAGACGTACGTGCATAAAGTCTTCTGAAAAGACTTCTTGTTTTACCTGAGGAGTCACAAGGATGGAGCTGCGGGTAGACTGGGTGCTCACAGTCTGACAAAATTCCTCAAGCGAATCTGTTGCATGATATCAAGTGCCTATCAGTGACAATGTCAACGATATCGCCCAACGTCCTCGTCCTACTGACAGCTTTCAGAGTTCTACAAAGTATGACAAAGTCCTTTTTAAGCAATCCAGGAAAGAATAAGGGTGAACAGTAAAGAAGAATAGATAAAATACACGAGTTGATAAACTGTAAGAGGAGTGGTTGAGTTATGCCTGAATGCCTTAACTTCTAAATGTAAAAAGTCAAACGAAATATTCTTTTAGAAATCGCTAAGACATAAGAGGACCAGGATAGGTCAGAAGAGAGAATTAAACCAAGATATTTAACTTCAGACTAGATTTCTGTATCAGTATCATCGATTTTGCAAGAGTCATAAGAACCAAAGGCTTCATTTAACTTTCGTTTACATCGGAAACTGAAGTTGACAGTCTGACATTTGGAAGGATTTAGTTCAAGGCCGTTAGACGAAGACCATTCGCTAATTCCTGATAGAAAGTTGTCAATCATGATGCAGTCAAGCTGAGAGTTAACAGACATTGAAATAGTTAGATCATCGGCATACTTAACAAAGTTCATTTCATCGGAGTGAGGCAAGTCATGCAAGAAGAAAGAAAACAGAAAAGTAGAAAGGACAGCGCCTTGAGGGACACCAGCCTCAGTAAGCAATGAAGTGGACGACTTTCCCTGACATACAGTGTATTGCTTTCTTCTTGAGAAATAAGAATGCAGCCATTTGACAACCCAACAGTCAGTTTGAGTTTCAGCAAGCTTGTTTAGTAAAATGTCCCTAGGTACTGAGTCGAAAGCAGATGTATAATCTAGAAAGGTGCAGCGGACAAATTTAGCCCGCTTGTCTAAGCTGGAGACAGTGTTATGATGCAAGACTGCAGCTGCATCTAAAATGCTTCTACTGTGTTTGCAGGCGAATTGTTTAGGATCGTTAAAGGCTTAAAATGAAGGTTGAAGATTTTCCATAGCTTTTAGATAAGGGGAAGTAATAGCAATGGGTCTGAATTTAAAACATGTCGCAGTAGACGACTTAGAAATAGATATATTTTAAATGTCATTCCAAACGGCTGGCACGACATTTTTAGAAAAAGATTCGTTAAATATGTCCATGAGAGGATAGCCCAGGATATCTACTCAAATTTTAAGAATAACACTACGCAAACTTTCTGGACCCAGGCTACAAAAAGGGTTCATAAACTGGAGACATTTTAGAACATCATTTGTACTAAATCCATTAACACTTGTAACACTAGAAAGTTTGGAATTCGTTGGAGAATGTATGAAGGACTTGTTTAGTTTGGAAACATCAAGGGAATAAGGAATACTGTTCATCTGCTTACCACCAGTAATTTCTTTGAAAAGTTTCCATATGTTAGACGCTTTTTTACAGGACATAAACTTTTGGTTGTAAATTGAATTCAATCTGTGCATTTCAGTCTTTATTAGGATGTTTATTCTTTTCAAACCAGCGTTATCCTTCATTATAGATAACTTTTCTATTTGTCTGCGAAGCTTTTTAAGTTGAGGGGAGGATAACTGTCAAATGTGATGAAGAGCGTTTCTCTGGGACAACAGGTGTCAAGACAAAATTTGAGATAACTTGTAATATAAGAG